ATGCGATACACATGAAATAATTAAACATTTCAAACTTTTAACAAAACAACACGAAATGAATTAAGTAAACTATATTTTGCGTTTTAAACCGTTTAAAGTGTATTGTTCAAAGCATTATATAGGAAACTTAAATAAAGGTCGAATTACTTTCACCACAAAGGATTACTTTCACCTTTGAGTCACTTTTCTTTTCAAATGCTTTTAACGCGGATAAAAAGACGTTTACTTAATCTATGACTATGATCGCATATAGACAAATTTTTTGACAGTAAAAATGTCTGTTATGCGATTGCAAAGTGCGTTGAAACTGGTTTTTCAAAGGTGTTTTATTAGGTGAGTATCAAAATAACTAACTTTAATAAAGAAAATAAAATACTAACAGTAAACCGTACATATATCGTAGTGAAATCCCATTTTCCCCTGGTTAAGCATTACGCAAACACATTGGGTGTCCATTTGACTGATCGAAATTATTATGCATACTTTTGTGCCCTGGCCGACCGAAACAGTTTATTGTTTTCTCTACAATTGAGGTACATAGTGATGTGGTACTTAGGTCGTGAATCAACGGTTATGTGATGTAGCACCTGACCGTTATAGAAACAATGCACAAACATTACCAAAAGCAGATAATATTACAATTATAATATAAATTTAAACTAACCTGAATCCATAAAATTGTCGAGAGCAACCTTTACATAAATTAACAACAAAGATGTCCAACTGTTGAACGGTCTTATTCCGCCAATCTTTCAAATCAAACGTCAAAACGGAGGTGTCAAATGTCAAGCTTCATTACAGATACAAACTTAGGCGTCAAGTACACAGCTGTTCTGGTCACGTCATACTCTTAAAATACCTAGATTATATTATTATTATTGAAGTAATTTTAAGAAAATCAGCATAAATCCAAGTAAGTACGTTAAATTTATTTTTCATTTAGTGCAGATTAATATAGGCGTTTACAGCATGTAATTTAAATTAATTTTTCCAAAGATATTACCGATTAAAAATGTCCCTGACATAGCGGTGCGGCCGGGCCTATAGCTGTAAACGTTGTTTATTGTGGACGTTTCGTAGCTAATAAGTTTCTGTAGTCCGTGCGAAGCCGGGGCGGGTCTCTAGTTTACTATCATTTCCATAGTTTTCTTCAGAGTGAACACGATACTTAAGTATAATAAACTAGCACGTATCACTACATGAAACAAAGTCGCTTTTTCTGTCCCTATATATCTATGTACGCTTAAATCTTTAAAACTACGCAACGATTTTTGTAATACATAGAGTGATTCAAGAGGAAGGTTTACTTGTATAATAACATCTATTAAATAGTGTACCGTTATTTTCGAGGTCGATGTGGACAGTGTGATGTCGTAAATAATTTAGTTTTTTTCACATTACACATTAAAAGGTCTGCAGAAAACTCCGCCTGGTATATGATTATCTCTTACGGATATCCCAAATAATGTCTAATTTTCGAAGCGATTTTACCAATACAGCAGTTTCCCTTATCTAATTAAATACCATAAATACATTGTGGATTTAATATCGATCTATATGACCCTTTACAGAATATTACTTAAATGAAAATTTTCAAAGATATTACCAATTTAAAAACTGCGGGACGTGTGCGGTGGTACCGGCCGAACGGGATGGCGGTAAAGGAGAATTGCTTTACTCCAAAGTTAACGTGTGCAGGACAAGGGCAGGAATGAATTAAACAAAACTACTCGATCAATTTTAAATATTTTTTCTGTGAATGAACCGGAACGGGCCGCTATGTTTTTATATACGATTCAGTTTTTCTGTAGTGTATTTAGTATCGGCATTGCATACGAACGAAGCCGGAGCGGGTCGCTATATATATATATATATATATAAAAAAATATATATATATATATATAATATAATATTCTTATATTTCAACAGTCGTAAAATCTACCACCAAATTCAAAAGTATAGTTAAATTGCTTTTTATACCTTCTTAAAAATATTGATACATTTCTTAGATAGAAATTGATGTCATTGAGAGCAATATCCATATAGTATCATGGACATAAGAGCAACGTAGGATTTTTTTTAAAACAGCCATTAATTTATTTGAATCCATATATAGTTAGTTGTTACTGAATCGCTGTATTTACTCGAATATAACCTGAATTTAACCAGAATAATTGGAATGGTCCTGTGATAATCCACTTAATGTTTACGGAACGAGGTGTCACCGGATTCGAATTCCGGCGTGGGCAAATATTTGTCCGGGTAAATATTTAGGGATTTACCCGTGATATATAGCGCGTCAGGGGTAACTTTGTAAGCGTTGTTTGCATCTGGAAACAGATACATGCAAAGTTTGCGCAGTACTGTGTATACTTTGGAAGATAACTAATAGCGGTTTTTATTGATTTTAAGGACTTTAAAAGGTTAAATAGGTATAGATGAGGGTAATTATAAATTAACTCTCCAATTGTCTTAACAAATAAGATAGAAACAATTTCGATATACACATTTTTAAATAAAATTCAAATCAAATATAATGTAACAATTTTTTAAAATAATTTTACTTTACTTAAATGGTAATAATAAATAACCTCCTCTTTGACCATAAAACCAATAAAAGTAATTTCTGTGTTTTCGTTTAATATTTAAAACTAAATATAGCGTCTTATTTAGATAAATGAAGTGCAGGCACGAATATTGCATATTTCTTCGATGATTTTAAAACAATTACAACTAAGTCGAAAGGTTTTAAAAAAAGGGACTATTAGGACACTGAACTAAATTAATTGATACTTAAATTAGCTTAAAAGTAAAAAAAAATACATTTTCATTTATGAAGCACGATTAAACGCAAATGACATCTTGCGAGTGGGAGTACTCACAATCAGGCCGTCGTACCACCAAAGACGGACTTCTGTTTAATTTTGTAATTCTAGCATCCTCTCTAATTCTATTCGGAGCACCGTTAATAAAATAACTTTGGAATATGGAAAAAGGGTGAAGGTCCATTTTCACGCGTCACTGGTCTATTGTATGTAATCAGAAGATATGGGACCCGCCATCTTTATGATGCAGACCCTTCCTTCTTGTTTACAACTTTGGGACTATTCCATTTTGTTTCGAAGAAAAATGACCAATGCCTTAATGCGTAACGAAATTAAATGACCTGTAGAAACTCAGTCATTTAATCTATCTACCAAGATAAATATGAAGAATTGTGTCCCACCGTTGGGCAATCTCTTGGCTGGGCTCTACTTGAATATCATTAAAAGCTTTTATCCATTCGTGGTCATATAAAAAGAGCGCAAAGACGGAGGGCGCGTACGCGACTTTCAGTATGATCATAAGTTATATATATAAAACATTCGTTGTCACTTTCTATCTGTATGTAAATGTGCTACGTGCTCGTACTGCACTCCACGAATAACTACGTCGTTGAAATTATTTGTATCGAAAAACAATGACTTATTCCCTCTTGGGGGTAGTGGAGAACAGAGCGTGTGAAGTTCATTCATATTTTAGTATAGTTAGGTAAAATTCATTTTTGTGAGTTTGTGCCAATGGAAATGCAAAATAGATTAGCTGTTTGACTTTTAAAGGCCCGGTGGTATGGATGCTTTTTAACACCCCACTACTCTCTGACCGGCAAACCACTGTGGATGCTGATGTCTACTAGTGAAGTAACAACAAATTAAAGCTTTCCAAGTCGGTATATAACGTCGTACCTACAAGATGCCTTTACGTGTTTCGGGGATGCTAACTTTGGAACTCTTGCGCTTTCGTGGCACTATCACTTTATATCTACAAACAACTAGGTTTCTCGTTAGTGTCGCTCGCCTAAGAGCACTCGTCGGCGAGAAGGATTTCAATCACTCAAGCCTTTTAAGAAGACAGAAGACGAACGCAGTGCATCTTGGCGCGGGCGATATTCAATGAGGGCCCTCGGGAGTAAACAAGAATTGATCGCATCATTTATAACGCGAGATTTAGATAGCCCGCCGACGCCTCCATTATTCAACCGTCGTACCACGTCAAACAGCTCCGGGGCCCATTCGCATCGACTGGCTAAGACTAATCGGAAAATAAAGCGAACGATGCAAGAGGGGGAGAGGAACAATTAAATAAAAAGGACTCATTTGTAAAGAAATTTTAACAGTAATGAATTAGCCATATCCTACATTACTTTTAATAGTTATCACGTTATCGAACGCAATCGCATTAGGTATTGTAATAAACAAAAATATCGAAGATTACAGTAACTAAAATATGAAATCGTAATAGGTATGATAAGAAGATAAAAACTTTAAAACCAAGTCACGATGATTAGTGTGTCAATATTTTATTTATTATCAATTTTATTGGTGTTCAATTAAGTTTTTATAAACTGATAAAAATATGTTTGTTTCCATGATACTTCATTAGTGAGAGCTATGATGTCACCTATATTCAGAAACAAAATGAACAATGTTCATGACTCTAACAAATAACGAGAAGGGCATAGTAAGATTTGCCGAAAAATATGACTATCAATTCAAGAAATGTTTGTATGTTAACTTGTTACAATGAAATAATATTAAGTGCAAAGATAACTCAGGTGTTTGTGAATCTGCAACGCGAACCAAGCTTGAAACCGTAGTGGTCTAAATTGATATTCAACTCCTTGTTGTGAATCGACCCCCGAGATGTTCGCGGGAGCGCGCCCCATCAAACCTCATTCCTTTATTGTTTTTTTATAGTCTTTGAGAAAATTTCTTGCTAGGGTTTGTCCGGACATTTCGCGAATTGATGACTGTTTTGCGTTTTTTACTCCCCAGCCTGCAAGTTATTATCGAGATCAATTCTTCTGTAAAGAGATATTTTAAGACGAATATATATACGGCTCATTCACGCCGTTTATCTTCAAGAGATTTTAAGAAGACGAATAACCAAAAATAAGATTTTCAAATACATCTGTCTGCGTTTTTTTTAATATTCGAAGACAAGTGATAAAGTGTACTGAGCTAAACAAAATTTGACCTATGCCACGTTATCTCCAGAATTAATATGATGAAGGCAACCACTGCAAAGGCAGCTAGGAGTCCGAAAGCAGGTGCAGCTTGCCCCAAGGCCAGGGCGCGAGGCGTGCTACCCGAACAGCTTGCGAAGAACCCGGCCACACGCGTTTGAATTGCGGTGAAGTGGCCTCTCTCTTTCAGCCGCATTAAGCTGGAAGAAATCGTCTTCAACGTGATAATCAATATATCACAACAGAGGTGTATACAATTTGTAACTCCTTTGTTAAAGCAGAGGATGTGTCCTGTAACTTTCCTAAAAGAATTAACATCTTATTGTTTAACAGTATTAAGAAAGAAAAAAATGCCTTTAACTATAACACATAAAAAATATTTAATTTAAATATATTTAATTGCTAAATTCGAAGTATAAACAAATAAATCTTAACTTTGTTAAAAATCAATTAGACATAACGATAATAATCATATAATGATTTTATCTGGAACGGAATTGTCGAAGGTAATGTGGAGGCCTCATTCTGATTATTTATTTTATAGTATTATTTATCATAACCGAGGAGATAAAGCATTTTGAAAATGTATTTTATATAAATTTATTGCAATGTTTGAGTAAGTTAAATATTTTTTCGTGAAGAGCTTAGCATAGAAATGCTTTAAGAAATGCGTTACCTTCCTTTACATTTAGCTAGGACCCTAGGTTCCAATCCCGAGGAACCTAGGTTCAAATCCCAAACTCAAAACCAAAACAATTCATAATAACCTAACCTAACCGCACAAGACTATTTCTACGCCCTTTTGTTAAGAGCCGGGATTTCGTTTTTCTATATAGTGAATTTATTACACGTACAATTACTAACACTAGGAAATTTTTCTTTATCATCACGACTTCGTATCATAATTTATTTCGATAAGGAATACTCTTTTAATATCCAAAATATATATTCTTCACCTTATCATACGATATTAATATAGATTATGAGTCAGTATGAAAGAACACTTCCTAGCCATAAATAGATCGCCTAACAACGATGCAAGAGGCGAAGCGTTTTAATCCATTTTTATATTACATACCTCAAAAAACGTTTATCGTCAATATTTAATATGTACTTTTTTTATTTTTATTATGAAAACAAAATCGGGCCATTTCATGTCAGTTTTCTGTTTCTACAGCAATATGATACGTATTTTTAAATTTTAATAGATCTACCTCCAATTAAAGAACTCCTTATAAGGGCTTCTCCTCTGTGTCATAATGTATACAGGAGCAGGTTGAATCATGGTCAAGGAGCCAAGTCTGCATAGCTCTGTATCGTCGAACTTTCGTGATATTCTCTGGTAGGCGGTGTACGGTTCCGTGTGATAAGCATATTCTGAGAAAGAAAGTGCTTCTTGTACTACTTAATTATACATGACTATATCAAAAGATAGCTTTGATAATGGATTGGAAATTGTACTCCTAAAACTTTTCTATTATATAACAGCTAAACTTACTCGTACTATATCTTATTTTAATACATTTTTCTTTTGGACGTTCAGAAATGCTCTTGGTCGGTGATTCGTGATCCTGTCGGAATTTCAATATTCCATTTGCCCACTTAATGTCTACTAGTTGCTTATTAGGCGCAGTGCTACTTTTGGAAGAATCAGCACGTCAGAATACGTAATAACTGCCAAAATAATATGAAATTAAAGTACCCCCTGTTCTTATAAGTTCAACGCCATCCTCGACCGATTGAAACAAACCCTTGCTACGTTTAGCGTACTTCACTTTCTTCTCCCTGAGTTCGTCTTCCTTTGGGTTTTTATATCCTCCGTAGTAAAAGAATCCCACGTCCTGCAACACTCTTTCTTTACATCGTGCTTTATGCTTTCACTGTACGTATGCATTTGTACGTACCTCGAGCCACCCTCGTGTATAGCCAATATCTTCAAAAATAAGTTCAAAGTCACTGTTGATGAGGCCATCTATATCGGAGAGCGTGGGTGGTGCTTCGCTGAGCAGCCAGGATACTACGCTACTTGTGTAGTAGTTGTACAGTAGCATACTAGTTATAGCTGTCACCAGAAGTGTAATGCGTCGGCCTAAAAAGTTAACGCAATCAAAATACAGCACAAGAAAGTACGAGCGTAAGAAAGCAGAAGTTACCTTGACTTGAAATCCGCTTTTCCAGCTCATCTGTGCCTTCGTCGTAAGCTAAGAGGAGATAACGCATTAGAAACATTTGTTATTCAACTAACGAGGGATGCGATAAGTTAACTTATATATATTGCATTTGAACTATTAAAAGTGTTTTTTTGTTGTTAAGTGTTCTGAAATGTCCTGAACACCTTGTTGACAGACAGCTCCAATTACACTAAAGACAGCATAAACGCCGGGTCCAGGTCGATGTTCCAAGATGCCGGCTACAGCCAGCACCAAAGCGCAGAGGGCACCGGCCGCCACAGTGGACCACCACACTGCTGGTGACAGGGGTCTTAGAAAGCGGTTCTCATAGATACCCACGCCCTTATTTGGGATCAAATAAAAGAATCTTGACCTGAAAGGAAACCACGTTATAAAAGATTTCTTTTTGTGTATAGGTTAACACATGTTGTAATCTTTATTTTTACAGTAGTTTATTCTATAGTAGTACTAACTACTTGAAGTATTAAAATATGGGTTCTTACTCTAAATAAGTGATGGGTGGGTAAACGATGTCCACCCATTGCATCCAAGTTGAAGTTATCCTGGCGGATGTACAGGATAAGTCTTGTTCCCGCCAGTATAATGAGTTCGTCACCGCCTGAAGAATAGAACGATACCTTCACTTTTGCAAAATGCTGAATTCCTAACGATTTTGTATATTAGTATTTCTAATGTATTACTTACTCTTAAGTAACCATAGAGAAATCTCAACGATCGTCTCGTTGGTTAATCTATCAAATCGCACAAATATACAGAATATTACTATCAACTCACCGACAACTCAAAAAAATTGTGTTTATCTTGAAATAAGTCTTTATTGCTTCTAATTTACAAAACATTAAAACGTGTTCGGAATACAATAATAATATTGAAGGGTAGCTAAGATTTTTCGATACGACTCGTGCGAGCTAGTTTTGGACAGATTTTTCTGAATATGAGGTTATGACGCCCGGATGTTGAAGAGATTACTAGATATTGTTTTAACAGTGCCCGCGAGTGCAGTGCGTTTTTAAGAGTAATTGCGTGTTACGTAAAGTCAGTGGACTCAATGGAGTGTAACTCAACGTAAGTGTGTTCCCTGTCATGGGCGCCCTTTGTTCCCGATTACAACGCACACTGGCACGCCACAATAATAGTGCACAGGTAAGTACTTAGAGTATAGAACATATATTTAAATGCATATAAAACATATAAAGAAGAGATGTAGTAACGTTTATTACCAATGTGGAATTCTTCTCCGCCGTGCCGATCCATTTTCCTGCCACAGTGTACTTGAATCTAATTACAAATGATACAATTAATAGATTTTAACTTATAATATTTACAACATACATCTTAACGACTTAAGCTCCGTACCTGAAGTTATGTATTTCTTTCAAAGGCTCAAATACGAAGGCTGCTATTTTCGTAAAGACCGTTAATCCCTTGGTGTAAGACATGCTAGTTAGCATTTCTGGTTTAAAACCTTCGGGTTGGCCTACCACCTGCGTAAATCCACAGTGAAATACAACGAAAATCGTATCAAACGTCAAATATTGTTATAATTACGGCGAATAGAAAAAGATACACGAGAGTCAGAACTATCAAACAGTTTTGCGAGTATCATTGGAATGGGTAATAATGAATAGGTACTAAAGAAATTAAAATAATGCGCGATAAGTACGCGGTAAGTACATAATTTGATACAATATATATTAATATACAGGTAGGGCAGCATTATATACGTGTACCTATATATTGATTCACTAATTAATTTCATATTACCGCACCGATTCAATCACTGATTAATTGTAACGTGTCTGGATTATTCGACTTGTCTATACAGAATTCATATAACTCTTGAATGGTTCTTAAACGGCAATTCTTACTGTAAACTATGTCTTTCTTACTTTCAATTATAACCTATTGAATTATCTAAATTGTATTTTTTTATTAAACTAAAAACACCCGATTTAATTCGAAACTTACCACAGTGACAACTCGAAGAGTCAAGTTGTGGAAGTCCCATCGATCGTAATATTTGAATGTGCCCAAGGAAACGTTTAGTCCTGCAATTTGAAATGACTAAGAAAACATATTTTACTATGTAGGTATGTAGGTTTTTTACAAAATAAGAAATACTCAAGATTACCATTATAATACATTATATAAATAAATAAAACTCACCGCTTTGTGCACTCCACTCCCCCAGGCGTTTCCTCTCCAAACTGTTTCCTTGTATCCTGCCAAAGTTGAATACCTCCATTAAGTCGTAAACGTCCCCTGCGAAATAAAATCAAACGATTATTACCAATTTTCATTGAAGCTTCATCGACGTTTGCGTCATATTTTTCAGTATCGCGTTTATTGAAACGTTTCAACGGAGGTACTGACAGAATGATATTCATACGTTTTTGTCATTAGATATGCGTATATTGTAACTTACTTGTATTTTTAGTTATTTTTGTAAATGCGTTCATCTCACCCTATAGGCGGAGTCTTTGATTTTGTTCAAATCAAATGTGAATCCGTAAAGTATCCATTATTTTACCGCAGGAAACTTTCAGTCGTCACAACTTGTATCTCGCAAGCTTAATGGTTGTTATCTCACCGGCGTTTGTGGCCGTAACGACATCGGCGTCAATGCTCAAATTCATTTGTTGCATCCGGCTATCGATGCTGTTTTGTGCGCTGCTGTCGTCGAGAATGAGCCAAATATGCGTCGCGTCGAACAAACCCCGCATCGACGCCTGCGACGACCTCATTAATTAGTGATAAGCACTTTTAGCGGTTGCCCGAAATGGGTTGTTTAGTTCCTCGTGTATTTTCGAGGGTCTCTCCGAAAAACGTGCCCGCAGTTAGAATGTATTGTAAGAATTAAAAATAGTCAGATACGATGTATAGCCCTAACTTAAGGAACAACTTATTTGAAGTTTTTCGTAGAGGTTTTGTTTCTGCAAAACTATTGTATGAAAGGAAAGCGCGAAAGAAATAATCGAGCCGGTGCCTGTGGACTGTACCTATAATATTGTTTTTCGTACCGAGTGCTTGATCTCTCTTACTTTTCTATTTTTTTTAATTTATAATACGTAACTAATAATTTAAAAGATATATAAATAAATTTACCTCTTTGAGTACATCAAATGCCCTATCACAATTGCCGTCTAATAAAACGCCAACCGATGTCGTTCGCTGGTTTAAAAGTTTTTCTATTTCTGGTACTTTCTTGTCTATTTTCGCCAAAGAAATCTTTACGTTGTTGTTTAAAAAATTCCGCAATAGCAGTAATTCCTCTGAAAGTGACCTTAAATATATATTTTTTCCTTCATAAACAAATGGAGGCCTTCTTTGACTCCTTTTTTTTTAATTTTAAAGTACTCGTGCTACTCTCTTGTCACTCAGGCCAAATTATTATTACTCACTGTAAGAGGAGTCACATGACAGGAAACAAAGATAACGGATGTCCCGCCTCGTATAGTACTCCACAGCTAATTGAGCGTCCCACGCTTTTGCAAGACATACGCAAAAACTCCACAACAGTATGACCCACATTTCTAGGACAATATATTTCATATAAATATCTTTTGACTCAAGTGAAATTATCTTTAAAATAAAAACCTCGCACTTCGGTTCTTAGAGATAAATAAATAAATCATTGTTAGCAAATTTAAATCAAATCTCTTTTTTAATTCAATTTTTTAAGACCCCATCAATCTTGTTGGTAGGAAAAGTTTTTACAATATTTTGCGTAGAACTTGAAACGGTTATTAGTCACTCATGCCGGAATATAAACTGATTATATAGAATATACAAGGCCTTTAAAAAAAACTATGGCAACTCCTAAAACAGGTGTCATTCAGCATAATGTTACAAACACACTTGTGTTGCAACACTGATTTTCAGTGGCCCCTGGCGCCACCGCTACTGGAGAAACAATATGCGTTAAAAATTTATGTGCATAAAGAAATAAAATTAAAATGAAGAAAATTGAATAAAATCACTACGAATGTTAAGTTCATTGACTACCGTTTCAGTCTGTCGCTATGTCGAATGAAGTTTCGAAATGGTGTTTTTCTGAAAAACCGCGGAGCAATTTTCCGAAATCACTTATCTACGTTTTCAGCTGACCGTTAACATCGGTAATGGTCAATTAAAAGCAGATGCAATTCGCGAATCGCCCATCAAAAATGATAGGCAAATTGGCGTGTAATCGCCGTTTAACTCTTCACCCGGACAGCCTCTGTCCGATGCAATAATAGGCCTCTGGCGGATTCATACTCTTTTATTACTCCTTATTTGTTCTTTCAACGAGAATCGGCATAACAAACAGCCAACGCCGGCGTCCACGGCCTTGGTAATATTACCTACTTAATATATAATAGGATTTATAAAAACATTTTATAAGGATCATTCAAATTAAAAGCGTCACGGTATAATAAATTAAACTTTATTAAAATTAAGTTCGTAAATTATTAAATTACAAGCGAGCGCGGATCCAGTTGTTGAAGGCGGTGACTCGTTGGAAACCGGCCGGACGGCCACGTTCGCATCCAGCGCGGGCCTCGAATGAGGTTATACCGACCTGTTGGGAACATCGCCGTTAAAGATATCTGCGTTACAATTTTAAACGAGAGATGCATATTTGGTCAAATTTTATATTTTTTTAGTCATCGAGACAGAGAGGAACCGATGTAACATAATTGTAAAATAAAACTATACCAATTGGTTGTTGAGGACGAGTGGACCGCCACCGTCTCCGGTGCAAGTGCTGCGTCTGTTGGCTCCGCTCACACAGAGAGTGGAGTCAATGATGAAGGCGTTGCCGAAAGTCTGAGCACACTCCCGGTTAGTAATGATAGTCAGATGCACGTGCCTGAGCTGCTGGGCGGTCGTGATTTGTCCCAATTGAGCTGTGATCGAATGTTAACGTTATAATATTATTTTTGCATATCTTACTTACAAGAAGCCATAACTTGAATTTTCTTTCGTCAGGACTTATTTATTTAGCTTTGTAACATATACAATTTCAAAGAACCAAATAAGAAATATAAACTAAGGCGGTCTCATCGCTATTAAGCGATCTATTCCGGGTAATCCTTCTTAGGAAAATAATGTTATTCAATAGTTGTATAGTCTATACCCTCTAGTAAACTTTTTAGACTAGGAATGTAAATTTCAACAATAAACTTTAATAGTTACTTCAAAAACTGTGATATAGTTTTATATCACAGTTTTTAATGAAGATTTAATTTAGAATCAAACTTACAGTCAGCAGTTCTGCCGAAGCCTGTTGCTACGGCCGTTGAGCCTACATAGAGACCGCTCCCACTCGCGATGGCAATGGGTTTAATGTAGTCTGAGAAGAAACATAAATTATTAGGAAAAGTAGTGCCTAAATGTGGTAAGCGACGCTTTCACCCTTTGTCTTTCCATTACTTACCACTTGTGGCGACAGTCGGCAGAATTAGCATGGCGATGTCGAAGTTACGGCTGTCTACGTTGTAGTTGTCGTGAACTTTTACATTGTTAGTGATGACTCGGGTACCGCCAGAGAAAAGGCGAGTGGAACCGAATACGGCGGTGGCCAATATACCCTGGCTTGTTCTAGTTTTCCAGCAGTGCGCGGCCGTGACTGCTCTGTTGCTGGAGAGAAGGGTAGAGCCGCAAACTGATTGTCCTCCTTGGATCAGATTCACTAACAAACCTCCCTGTAAATATTTAGTCTTTAAAATCGCAATACTAGCTAGGTTATAATAAAGCATTGTGGACTGTACCTAGTGTTAGTAACAAACTTGTGTTAGTCATTCGTTAATAATATTTTTTTCACTTTGTCTTTTTTCAACTTTAATAAATAATAAATATTATTTTCTTAAATATTTCAAACGTTCTATTGCTATATGATTATGTCCATATATTGTCTTACGAAGTAAGGGAACTGTCCCAGCTGCGAGAGATCGCCACCGACGATTCTGGACCCGTCGAAGTCCATAGCTTCCTCAGATGCCTTGATGCGAGCAGCCAACGGGATTCCGATCTCTCCATGGTAATCGGTAATAATTTCCTCATATTTCGCAGGGGGCGCCGCTAGGGCTGTAGTTATTCCGAGTACTAGCAATAACACCTTCATGATGGCTAATCAAATGGACTATAAAATCTAATTATCGAATGCTTATATATGAAAAAACCCACCTGCATTAGCACTGATAGATATGGAGTTAATACGGTGACCGACAATATTTATATCTGTAGATGATTATGGATTAGATAAATGTATATGCGTACTGTATATATGTAATTATGCACCATGTAGCGTCATTTTAACGGTCAAAGTCAAGTTTGAAGAAAATCTGCTCTTATCTGTTCACCGTTAAAGAAAAATTCAGTTCGAATTTCCGTTAGATGACTTTACCAATTATTATCATAGTCTATTATTTCCTATAAATTAACCGGAGACAAGTGGCCGTTATCGTAGATCGATAACGACCTAAGATGATATCAAAAATCGATGTGGAATTGAAATCGAATGCTGACAATGTGATTTAATACCGGTTTCTTCTAAGTATCGTAATGAATTAAAAATTGATTACAAAAAAAAATGACTCGGTCAGGACTTGAACCGACACATCGGAACACAGCGTTCCGTGCTGTTGCCCTAATCCTAATATATATAATTAGCACATACTAATTATAATGATTATATTAATAAAGTCGAAAATAACCTGAACCATAATGCAAAATATTTTTGGAAGTTCATTGAAAATAAGCGAGCAAATACTAAAGGATTTCCTAGTGAAATGTTTCTCGACGCAAAAAAAGCGACGACTAGCAATGATATTGCCAATCTTTTTGCTGAAAAATTTAACTCTATTTATTCTGAAGATCATGTGAAAAATACAAATAACTATTTCCATAATAATTTACAAAATGTTATTCCACTCTGTAGAATTAAATTTACAGAAAAAGACATTCTAACTAAAATAAGAGGTTTGAATATTGACAAGAGTGCTGGGCCCGACAATATACCACCCCTTTTTATTAAAACATGTGCTACGTCTTTACTTCTTCCACTTAAATTAATTTTTAATACGTCCCTAGAAACCGGTGTTTTTCCTTTAAAGTGGAAAATTGCTCGTGTAATACCGATTCATAAAAAAGGAGATTTGAACAATGTGTCCAACTATAGACCAATTTCCATACTTAATACGTTCTCAAAACTGTTTGAATCATTAATTTGTCCTGTATTATCAATGCATTGTAGGTTCCTATTAAATGAAAATCAGCATGGCTTTTATGCTAAAAGAAGCATTGATACTAACGTCTTTGAGCATGTCGAGAATTTGTCTAATGAAGTAGATAACGGTCATCAAGTAGACTGTATATATACAGACTTTTCAAATGCCTTCGATAAAGTCAGTCACAAAATATTAATTGATAAACTAAATTTCTATTCTGGGATTGGCGGAGAGGTGTTTAAGTGGTTTACTTCATATCTTTCCGACAGAACTCAGTTTGTGTCGATTAGCGGCTCTGATTCATCATGCTATGTTGCTTCCTCGGGAGTTCCTCAGGGCTCTCATCTCAGTCCGATTCTTTTCACGCTGTTCATTGATGATATAGGTCTTGTGATAAAACACAGTACTTTTTCATTGTACGCTGATGACATGAAATTATCTAAAGTAATTCATAATACAGAAGATGTTGCTTTACTGCAAAGCGATATCTCGAGTGTTAATACATGGTGTGCTTTAAATAAAATGGTCCTTAATGCATTAAAGTGTTATCACATAATTTTCACCAAGAAAAAACAACCAATTTGCTCTACTTATGTCGTTGGTGGTAGGCAGCTTGAAGTCGTGACGGAGATGAGAGATCTAGGAATAACACTTGACAGCAAGCTTACCTTTATACCGCACATTAATAACATTATCGATAGGGCAGCTCGAATGTCCGGTTTTATAAAAAGATCTACAAAATGTTTTAAAAAACCTCAGTCAAATCATAATATTTCATCTTTAGTTTAAAGGAATTTGGAAGGTTGTTTGAACCCAGAGTACTCTTGTCATGTAACCCGCATTGACGTATTAATTCAAACATCTTTGCTCCATGACCAGAGACATTAGTTTTAGAGTCAATTACGAAACCAGGTTACAGCATTTTAAACTTAATAAGTTATCCGATAGACGACGAATGATTGACCTCTTATTTCTTTTCAAAATTTTAAATAATAAGATTGATGCCCCGAATATATTAAATAAAATCCAGTTTAATGTTCCAAGAAAAAGTTCAAGACTGAAACACTTAAAAGTATTTTATCTTCATACACCAAAAACTAACGTAGGTAGAAACCGTCCATTGTACCGTGTATGTGAGACCCTTAATAATGTCATGCGAGAAACCGACGCTGATCCTTACTTTGATTCTTTTACACGATTTAAAAATAAAGTATTGCGACTATAGACACTTTATTATAATTAAGTTGGAATTCTGTAATTTCGAAACACTAATTTTAAGTTAACAATGCTGTGTACATCAGTAATTGGGTCCTACATAGGTATCTTAACTTATTGTTATGTTAAGTATAATGAACTACATGTAAGTGATCTGTTGATGTATCATAATAAATAAATAAATAAATAAATAATAATGACCGTTTTATGAGTAATGATTTCGATATTTTGGAACGATTTTAAATGTTTATACAATACGTAGTCGGGTTATCTGTCGTTTATGAAGTCGTTCAGCTCCCAAACTCTAATATGAATCGCTTGCGGACGAGATACTCAGTGCCAGGTTTTTGTTGCTTGTCAGTGTTTTGCTTTGATCATGCCAATTCAAAAACTATTTCTAAGTATGTAAAACTTTACTAACTATGTAAAAATATTTTTATCAAAGTAATGCTTTTTTCTTAAACAGACTTGAAAATTTGAGCATAATTTTGATAAACGACTTCGAGATAAATCGAGCTCGGTGTCCTGATCGAGCAGCGGCCTATTTCACCTTCTGATATAGAATGTCATTTAATATTTTAGAAAAATATACGCCCTTCGCAATCGTTTAGCAAAATGAAACTGAACAGTAACCGTATATATCACGGAAATGTGGAGCAACAGATTGTTGTTGATGACAAGAGGGCCGCCAGAGTCGCCACTGCAGATGTTGGCCCTGGTGGAGCCGCGGACGCAGATAGTCGACGCAATGACTGGTTCGCTGCCGAAGACTGACGCGCTTTCGTTGTTGCTGATGACTCGCAGATTGACGTGTTTCAATGGTTGGTTGGGGTTGTTGATACCACCTGATGGGCCTGTATTGAAAACGTAGAATTCAATATTATTGTATCTATGAGACTGAGACGAGAAAATATTAACTACATATTATTATTAAATCCAAGGTTTTGATTATTTTTGAAACTTATTTGCGCCATTTGTGCAAATATGACCAATATTATATTAAAACTTACCGTCACCAGTTCTTTCGAAACCGATAGCAATAGCCGATGCTCCAACATAAAAATTGCTGTCAGAAATTGATTGATCGGATGTTGTCTGACAAAAATTGTTGTTCATTTTTATTTTATATTTTGTCTTGTTAATTTTGCTGATGCTGAAAACTTAACGACTGTAAGTAAAAGCTATATGAAAACCTATTTTCCCATTAATGTTTTGCAGCACCGAAACTATTCTGTTTCCTCGATATTTAAACGCAGGTATTTTCTTTAAAGCCGCCGAGGTCGACAATTTATAAAGTAAAAATTGCTTGATTTTCAAGAATGTATTCATTACTGTCTTCAAGCACGACGACTGTCCACCGACGTTTAAGTTGACCAGTAAACCACCCTGTTAAATATAAAAGACCATTATAAAACCTATCGTCATTAAGAGCTATGTTTATCAAGTTGCTTGCAAGCTTTAAAACATTTTTCTGATTAAAGAAAATTAGAAGTTTGATCTTACCATCCAAGGGAATTGACCGAGGTTGGAAAACGAGCCCCCAACGATTCTGGAGCCGTCGAAGTCCATGGCCTCTTTGGCGGCCTTGATTCGCGCAGCCTCGGGAATTCTGATCTCAAAATGATAGTCGGTGATGATGGGCTCGTACTGGACTGGAGAAGCCGCGAGGGCCGCCGTTACTCCGAGAAGAACCAGGATCAGTTGCATAATGATTAGACTTGTGAATGTCCATTTGAGCACTGCAAGCCTTATATTAATGTAATATATACTGGGAAAATTGTCGACGGATTTTTTTTTATTTTGATAATTAATAGCTATTGGATCAGAGATAAACCTCATTAATGAACTACTTTATCTATCGGATTAGAAGGTTATAATGTGTGATAATATAATTAGTCTATGGGTTTTCCATAATTCTAATTGATGTAAAGTTTTCTAAGATTATGAATTTTAAAATGATCGAGGTTAAACTGTTAAGCTGCTTACTTTATACATATTATTTTTTACACTGACCAATTTCCAAAAAAATATCTTTTTATCTTTTACTTTGAAGCGATTTAAATTCACTGTTCCCATAACTTTGCGTGTAACCCGTTTTAAGTTTTGCTGTGACTTTATCTGTTCGAACTGTCCATACTGGAAACCCCAGCTTTTTATGACGACTCGAATAATGTATCCTTATTTATTTAATTACAGCCATTTGCCTTAAGACTAACTTATAGCTATGAACCGCATTTATCTTCCAACTTTCCCAACCCCGTCACGGAACGAACAACAAATATGTGTAAATATAAGCTTAAAAAACTAACATTTATAATAAAAAAAGTGAAAGAAGAAAAACAAACAAAAAATAGAAACTTGGACGAGTGCTTGTGAAATAGGGAAAAGCACTCGGCATGTGCTTCACCACCCAGAATAGCCGGTTAATGAATTGCTTTATCTACCGGATTAAAATATTATAATGTTTGAAAACATTAATATTGTTTACATGTTATTGCACATGAAGGCACCATATAATTTTAAGATTCGAAAATAAATTGAAAAAATTTTCGACTCGGGCAGGACTTGAACCGTCATCGTCAGCGTTCCGTGCTGTTGCTCTACCAATTGAGCTACCGAGTCCTACACCTCATCGTCGAATTTTTTCAACTTATTGATACAGGCACCTCTCGCGCATTGTAATTTCAACCTTAGCACTTGCGATTTAAGGAAAGTGAAAATATCTTTTAGCACTGCACTATTACTCAATAGGAAAAACCCGTAAATCAATATTTTTATTAATAATCTCTCCTCGTACAAATATAGTTCTATCACAATTTTCGACACCCAAATTAATCACCAATTAATCATTTAAATGCACGAGTCTGTCAAGTGGATTCGACGTTTATTTTTTTACTTTATTATGTTTGCTAATCTCAATAAATTAAAGGATTTGGTGTGATAAAAATGGGTTTTCCCTGTGATATATAAAGGAAAATACAAAAGTTATGCAGTTTTATTTGAACTTTTATCTTTCCCTACTTATCCACACCACCATTGTAGAGTGGTAATTGTCGGACACAAAAAAATACAAATCTACCTCTTCACAATATTACTGTGGATTACTTTAAGGGTCACATACAAAATAAAAATCGACAAAGCTTTATTGCAATTGAATCGAATTACTTTTTTTCGTCTGCAAATTACATGCGCGCGCGATTCCAGGAGGTAGCGAAACCGCCCGGTCTGCT